TATATATATACATATATATATATATATATATATATAAACAGAAAGTTACAAATAATTAATGATCAGTCGTAGCATTCTTTTTTTATTGACCAATGAATGCAGGTAGGAGTACAAGATGCTAAATGCTAATTTTAAGAAGAACAAATTCATCAAGTTGCTGGTGCCCTCTTTCTTACAGCAATTGATTTGTTTTTTTTTCTTCCAGTAATTGTGGAAACTAAATGGCATTACCCATATACTAGGTAATTAAGGCAACCGGATTATGGCAACAAAACTTAGCCATCAATGCTAAATTAAGCAAACATAGGAGATTAACCTATTTGGGTTTCGAAATTTAGATATGTAAATAGAAACCTTTCCCTTTTTCTTAAAGATTTTACACTCTTAACCACTTCACCATATGGATTTAGATAAGGATTCTATCTACATGTACTACCATAATTTTTTAGATTTATTGATGAAATGTTTTATTAGTATTTGTATTATCATTTCGATAGTAATTAATTTACCAATAGAAATGCTTTGTTAGTGACTTTTTTGTCAGTAATTTTTTATTTTTTAATAAATCTATTAGTAATAAAGAAATATCATTATCGATGGATTTAATAACAAAAAAGGCCCATAAAAAAATATTTACTTTATTCTGTTGGTATTTTCCTTGAAAAGATACTGTATGTATTTTCATTGTTAATTATTTAAAAATATTAAAAAAAAAATATTTTACAAAACTATAAAATAATTAAATTAATATAAATCAACACTTTATAATACTAAAAATTCTTGGAAAAAAAGAAGAAAAAAATCATATGAAAAAAATATACAACAATATTCATATAATTATTAAGAACAAAAATAATTAAAAATAAAATAAAAAACAAATATAGTGAAAAAAACATAAAAAAAAGAAAAAAAAATCTTACCTTAGTATAATTGTAAGTGAAGCTAACAAGAGAGAAAGAAAAAAAAATTCATAACGTATATTAATTAAAAAAAAACTAAGAAAAAAAAAAGAAAAAAGAAGAAGAATACATATAAGAGCATGGAAAAGAAAAGAAGAAGTTGAGGAGAGAAAAAAAGAGAAAAAAAATGAATATTGATGTTTTTTTACATATGAGGAAGAAGAAGAAAAAGAAAAGAAAAGCCCTGTTTGTTGTGAAATTAAGGATTCTAGGTTTTCTATTATGGTATTTTATCGACAATTTTAATGATAGATAATTAAATATTAATATTTTTAATTATTCTATCTTGTGATTCTATCATTAATATTTATAATTAAATTTTTAATTTAATAAAAAAATTTCAAAAACCATTAAATATCATCGACAATTTTCAATCTGTTGGGGATTCTGTTTATAATGTTTAATTTAAAATTTAAATTTAATCAAAAATTTTCAGAAGACAACCAAATAACACTGATGACTTTTTAATCCATTTTTGATTTTATCAATAAAAAATATTAATTAACACTGCAATAGAAAAGTAAACAATTGCAGAGCTCTCTTGAAAATACCGACATAATTTTTCGTTGATGATTTTTTTTGTAATTGATATGATAAACAATGTTCATAGTTTACCAATGAATTTACCGATAGAGTTTTCTATCAGTAATTATGTTGGTAAAAATAGCACACCATTATTTTTTTAATTTTAATATTTTTTCTACTGTAATTCCCTTAAGAAAATATTTTTCTCGATAAAATTCATCAACAATTTTTTAATAAAAATATTCTCTTAATATTTTTATTTATATTGATTAAAGTTTTAGTAGTGATAAGTAGCCAAATTGCCTTTTATCAACCTTTCAGGGTCTCAAACTTAACAAAATACATTAAACATGAAGATATGTGTGCAAGCTTGCAACTAACCTAAGTAACAAACTAAACAACAATTGACTAAATTAAGGTAAAAGGCCTTTTCAAACTTGTTTTTACTCGCAAAGATATTGCATTTATGTTCTAAATTTTTCAATGGAATTAGTTGTTTTCATCCTAACAATATTTTTTTTTGTTTTGAAAAATGTGATTTGTTTGATTCGGCTGTCAAATGATACCTAACTTGTTTTGTTTTCCACATAAAAATTCCCTCATGTTTCATGCAACATTTACTCCTCCAATGTAGGTAAGTTTGTTGCCTCGTTTGTTATTTTGCTCAAACAATTGTATATTCTATATGCCTTCATGTTTCAAATTGGAGCCGCAATGGAAGATCAAGATGCATCATCAAGCATGATTTCAAGTGCCAAAAGTCCCATCATCAATGTGGAAACTTTGGCATTTAGCACAAGCAACAAACTTGGAAGGCTTCATAGCAATATCGGTAATGTAGCAAAATTCAAAGGCATTGTGCCACAAAAAAATGGACATTGGGGTGCACAAATATATTCAAATCATCAAAGGATCTGGCTAGGAACATTCAAGACCGAGAAAGAAGCAGCTATGGCCTATGATAGTGCTGCCATAAAGCTCAGAAGCACGGATTCACATCGAAATTTTCCATGGAACGACCGCAATGTTCAAGAGCCTAGCTTCCAAAACCAATATAGTACCGAAGAGATTCTGAATATGATTAGAGATGGATCTTATCAACAGATTTTTGTGGATTTTATAATGAAACAATCACAAAGAGAAGAAATTGGTGGAAGTGATGATCCCAATGGAAGGAGGGTGCATGCAGATGATGAACAACTCTCATGCACACAACTTTTTCAAAAGGATCTAACACCAAGTGATGTAGGGAAGCTTAATAGACTTGTGATACCCAAAAAATTTGCTGTTAAGTACTTCCCCTATATTTTTAAAGATGTTGAAGATGATAGGGTACTAAATACTGCTGGGGTAGATGACACAGAACTCATATTTTACGACAGGTTCATGAAGTCTTGGAAATTTAGATATTGCTATTGGAGGAGTAGCCAAAGCTTTGTTTTCACAAAGGGTTGGAATAGGTTTGTTAAGGAGAAAAAATTGAAGGAAAAAGACATCATTGTATTTTATACATGTGCCTGCCCAAACAAGGTACAAGAGCAACATGGTCAAGGCCAATACTTTTCCATGATTGACGTAGTTTATTGCAATGGCCAAAGCGGCAAGGTTGACGGGTTTAACCAAACGGAGGATGTGCAACGAGAATTGGCTGTCGTTTTAAGGCAAAATATGAGAAAGAAGTTGCAAAAGGATGGGAAAGAATTGAAGGAAGAGAAGGAAATATTGAAAAACAAGGTTAAACAAAAAGGGTTTAGGCTGTTTGGGGTGCAGATTAAT